GGGCTTATAATTATTATTATAAGTGTCTGCTAATAACTGCCCTCACCAGGGCTGCTTGCTTTCTATTGAAAATTGCTTGGCCATAATAAGTAAATATTATTATTGTGAAATATTTTTTTTATTTGCAATAAAAACCAGAAAAACACAAGTGTTTTCATTTTTTTTTTTTTTTTATGAAGAAATTCCAACTTTTAATGTGTTTAACCTCTGATATTCTAATATGAAAGAAATCAAAATAATATCAAGCTAGTTTTCCAACTATTTAAAAATTCCTCCTACCAAGGCATCTTTTTAAGATCAATGTTTAATTTTTTTAGATCAATAAATAAAATATGTGTATGCATCAATGTGTGTATGTGTATGCATGTGTGTATGTATGTTGGTGTACTAGACCTAGTTTCAACTACCAGTCTATCAACTGCTTCCTGCAGTGCCTGATCCCAAGGTATGTTTGCTTTTTATTATGATTCTTTCTTAACACACCTATCCTTCAACTACATACCATATTATACTCTTCACATAACCTACTATTCCATTACCGCTTTCAAAAAACTGAATGTCAATTTTCATTTATATATACCATAACTTATTATTTTTCATCATCATAACCTTGTTTACATTTATACTTACATTCTAAATTTCTCTTCTAAAAGTTTTTTCTTATAGAGTTATATATATTTAATAAATCTATCCTAACGATATTACAACTCATGTTATCTTATTAATTTTTCAATTTCTTTATTTGTTAACCTATAGTCTCGTTATCTGTTATATAAATTTATCATGTGTAACCTCCACTAGCTTGTTATCCACTGATATCTTATTATTATGTTATCTTATTCTTATTATAGCTTTACTAGATCATTACTTATTCATTTTTCAATTTTTTTATTCGTCTACACTCATTTTCTTTATCTGTTAACCTACAGTTATCAAATTTGATCTTTACCAGTTTGTTATACTTTTATCACAATCTGTTTACTTTTAACTTAAACGCTATATTCTCCTTTGTTTTCTATTTTAATTTTACTCATTTCCTATTTTTGTTTGTATCTTCTATAATCTTCTTTAAGTATATATAATACTTATATTTTAACTACACTGTCACCCACTATATCTCTAATGTCATCTTATTATTTCTTTATCGGACAACTGTTTCTTATTTAATATCTACTTATAATCCATTTATTTTATTTTCACCATGTACCTTTTATATTTTGTATCTTTTGTAGCCCTGATGAAGAACTGCAAGATGGGTCGAAACATCAATGAAACAACTAAAAATACTAATTTTTAAAAATTTAGCATTTATTTGACCTCACCCCCCGACCAACTCCTTTTCAAATAAATAAAATAGCTCTAAGGAATTTGTTTTATCAATTTCATTAGATTTTTATGATTTTATTCATTAATTGCTCGAGCTGAGTTGTTGACTGTTGGAAACTTATCAAGAAGTTGAACTGCTTTTCTCTTGTAGTGATTTAGAATAGCTTCATAAAACGACCCTCTTTTGACCGATTTTAAAAAATATATCAGATAAGAGTTTAGTTATGAAATATTCGACATTTTGATTTAAAAAAAAAATTAATTTGGTTGGAATTTATTATGCCCATGTAACATTAAATGTACCTACTATGTTGTGTTGTTCTAAGATCTAAACTAATGCTTTTAATAAATTGTAATAGGCAAATAAGTATTTGCAAGACCGAGACCAAGACTAAAACTATGTGTGTGCAATACCAAGACCAAGGCTGGAAGTCTTCTCTTGGTCTTGCTAATTAATGCATTAAATAGTTTTGCTGTGAAATAAACATTCCTTTAACACGTTTTGTTGTTACATTCAGAAATATCAGAATAATATTATAAAAGACAATCACTGAGGTTGTGTTTGATTGATCCAGCATGGGCCTTAAAGTTAACTAAAGTTAAGTGAAGTTTCTAAGCAGAAGTTATTTAGGAACAAAAGATCCAAAAAGGGGAACATTTGGTTCTACAATAGAAGGAAATGATTGCGCATAAAAAAATAAAATAAACTTTAGGTGTTTTGGGTAACGGATAAAATGGTTTAATAGCGATTATAGCAAGAAACTTGAAAAACTTTCAAATAAGGTAAAAATGAGTATAAGGAAGATGCAAGACTAGACTTTGGCGGTCTGAGGCTATCGTTGTAAATCTTTGATTCTTAATAAGTTGCAGAACTGCAGGATATTAGTCAGGACAAAGGAAAAAGTGGATGAAAACAACTCGGTTCCTTTAAGAACTTATACCGGAGAGCAGTTACTTATTATAAACTAAATACATGTCGGAGGCGTTGACCTAACCAGAAAAACATCATCTAATTAGAATTGCCTATCCTCTTCTCTAGATAAATAAAAATATTGAATACATAATAGTTAACCGTTGTATTATTGAGAAAGGAGGTGGTCCGAGATGGTGGTTATAAAAAGACTAAATAGTGGCAAAACCATTTTATTAAATACCCAACGTTTCTAATAAAAAGTCAGTTCTAAGTGAAACTTCTTGCTGAACACACCTCCCTGAAGAAGACCTGCATAGTCGAGTGGAAACGTTGGCTTTTAATAAAACAGTTTTGCCACTATTTAGTCCATTTATGGCCTCCAACCCGAACCATTTCCTTCCTAACTAAAATATTGTTCTCCTTTTCTTAAAAACAGTACAAACGAAACTAGAATGAGAAAAAAAATTTAGATCTCGCACTTGCTGTGTAAGATCCACATTTGCACTGATCAGTTCCAGGATTTCCCCTTGTTCCTCGGAATGAAAGTTGCTCCGAATTGGAATCCTACAAAAATATGGTTTCCTCCGAAAATTAACCTTCCCATAAAACGTTCTTCCATTCTCAAAAATTCGAAATCCTATAAGTAAAAACTTTGTGCAATGCAACCACCTTCTGGGCACCCCTGCATATAATATTTTTCCTAAGCTGACGCGGCAATTGCATTAAATGATTTATTTACAGCACAGTCGGATCTACGGGAGGAGGCGAGGGTCGAAGGGAGGGGCTTTCGGGTTGAAGCTCCCTCCCAAAAAAAATATAACCATATTGTATAGAAAAATATATTTTTTAAATTGTTATTGCTCGTGTAATTTCATTTAATAAACCTTCAAGAATCACTTTAACACCATTTCATATAGGTAGTTAGTATCCTTCTTTAATTACCAAAATAATTATCGTTACATATATGGAAAAAGAGGTCTCGGGTTGAAGGCCTCCACCCAAAACTAAATCCCGTTTCAGCCATGTATTTTAATAACATTTTACCATTATTTTCTTAGGTGTATGTTATTGTTTACTGTTCTCTTTATTCTTCTGTGTCTTATTATTTGTAATGTTAAACCATATCACCTCAATGTTATGTTGAATAAAAAACTGAATAAAAATGATTGTGTCGTTTTTCGAATCGTCCTGATGTTTCGGTTCGTCAGATTAACAAACCACCGAAAAACGGCACAATCAATAGGGTTTTTATTCCATAACATTACCTAACCTTAACGCCCATGCTTCAATATCAAACAGAACCACATAATGAATGATTGTCTTATATAATCTTATTCTGATAACCTACAGGACATACCAAAGGGACGTTTATTTCACAGGAAAAACTATTTAATGCTCTCACCATCATTTTAATGCGTCATATAGCTAACAGGGATAGTGTTCTCAAAAGCAAGACCAAGAGGAGACGGTCATTATGGCCTTGGTGTTGCACAAACAGTGTTGTCATAGCTTCGGTCTTGCAATTATAACCCTATTACTAAAAACATTAATTTAGATCTTAGAACAACGCAACAGAGTAAGTTCATTTTAAGCTTATACTGAGATAAAAATAATAAAGTCCAACGGAATTGATTAAATTAACTGGACAATTTTTTAAAATCACCCGGTTAACCATTTTTCCTTAATTTTTCCCACAAAAACTCGTTTTTTTTTTCTTTTGCTCTGCCCCTGATAAATATTGAATTTTTCTTTATTACTTGGGGAGCTAAGCACACATACACGATTCAACAAGTAAAATACCTTTCTTTAGATTTAATGTTCGGTTAAAATGGGAGGAGATGGTCCGGGGTGTCGCTTATAAAAAGGCTAAATATTGACAAAACTATTTTATTAAAAGCCAACGTTTCTTCGACCCGACTTTGCAGGTCTTCTTCAGGGAGGCGTGTTCAACTAGAAGTTTCACTTAGAACTGGAGTGAAACTCCTAGCAGACCATAGCTCCCTGAAGAAGACCTGCAAAGTCCGGTCGAAACGTTGGCTTTTAATAAAACAGATATGCCACAATTTAGTCTTTTTATGACCGCCACCCCGGACCATCTCCTTCCTTTATAATTCAACGGTCAACTATTAAATATTTAATCGTTAGGTTAAAATGTTTGCCAGTGATGTTTATCGTACTATATCTCAAAATATATCAATCCATAAACTAGCTTTTAGTGTTGTAATGACCAAATTTTTGGTTCTATTATGGAAGGAATTGTCTTTTTGATATCGATACTATGATATGTCTATCAATATTGATATTGAAACCAAATATTCAATAATGCCTAAGTCTTAGTTTGACAACTGGGTGACGCAAGAGTTCCGCGAGTCAGTCTTGTTTTTGCTCAACCAATTTTTGCTAAATCAGTCTTGGTCTCGGTCATGCGGAAATCCAAGTCCAAGACTGCAGGATCAAGACCATTTTGGAGCAACACTATCATGGAAGAATTTGTTTGCACAGTTGAAAATATTATTAAAGTGAAAAACTTGATTTTTATTCTCACTTATCAATTACCAACCAACAGCTGGAGATTGGTTTGAATTTATTTTGAAACATGAACGTTATCATTTATAAAAAATTATAAATAAATTTATCGTTACTCGAAATTTATAGTGAAATATTAAAAAGCAGAATAATGCCTGAGGTATGCAAATTCTGTTGTTCTACGAATTCGTGCGATCATTCAAATTTCACCATCACCCACAATGGCCTCTTCGGAATGAGCATTGTGGACACGATATTAGAATTTCTGTTGCTGAAAGAGAGGATTGGACGCTCCTTGGGTATCATCCACGAGGATAGTGGTGACGGTGAGGATGAGGCTTCTAAAGATAGATTTGACCTCAACAACTGGCTCGATGAGGAATTGAAGACGGTATCTAAACAAATGGTAAAAAATGGCTGCACTAGAATGCTCCAAGCGAGGAAGTTCGTACTATGCCGGTTATGCGAATTGAATGAAAAAAAGAGGGAACTAGAGACCGGGCTACGATGCTGACAGAAAGTAATCTGACAAATATATCATATTGTTTGTTGTTTCTTGTTGTTTATAATTGAACATGGCTGAAGGTGAATCACAAGATAAACACTGGTGTAGTTGCGTCCGCTGTAGTGTTATTAGGATACCTCTAAAATGAAGGTAGTTGCAAGTTTAATTATTTCAAGAACTTTCTTCACTAATAATTCCCTTTCGCTTCTCCAACATAGCAGCCGGTTTAAAGATCAGCCAAAACACGCAATTCCAAGATTCCCGACGAATACATCCGAAAGAACTACATTGACTTAACACCTGTTGTTTAGGTTATGTTAGGTTATATTATCGCCTTATTATAAGGTAAACGTGTATTCCTAGGAAAAAATTCCCCTAGTAATCCATTATTATACTCGCTCAATAAAACAAAAAAAAGAGAACATAGCCTTAGTTTGTAGCTAAGAGTATCCAAGTCGATTACTGAGAATATAAAAGCTATATCTAAATATTTTTTATTTATTAACTTTTTTTTAATGAATGAGACTTTTTTTCCATATTATCCGAATTGCCGAAAACATTGATAGAGCTATTCTTCTCCATTTATATTTTCAAGTGACTATCATAAATGCCAATATTTACATACTTTACTTATTACCGGTGTTCCAACGTGCGATACCTCTTCAGGTCAGTGCAGAGCTCCACACATCTCTATCCTCCCAGTCACCCTCCTGTAGACCTCGGCCGGCAATCTCTTCTCCGACTCCTTCCATCCAAGTGGTTCTCGGTCGTCCTCGCCTACGCTTTCCGGGTAGCTGCCAGTCCAGGACTCCGTTCAGCCAATGCTCTTCCGACATTCTCCTGCAGTGCCCATACCACCTCAATCGCCGTTTCCCGATCCTCTCAGAGACGGTCTCCTCTACGCCTATTCTCTGTCTCACCACTTCATTTCGGACTCTGTCCAGCCTCGTTAACTGTAGACACCTTCTCCAGAAATCCATTTCTGCAGTCCGAATTTTGGCATACAAGCCAGCATTCATCGACCATGCCTCACATCCGTAGGTTAATATGGACTTGACAATAGCCGTGAAGATACGCCGCTTGTTCGCGGTTGAAATAGTGTCGTTCCAGAGAACAGGATGCAGCATTCTAGTAGCTTCCAATATTTAAACTTTTAAAACCTAAATATGCAATAAATATCCCATGACACCCATAGCAATTAAAAAGGTTTAGGTCTATCTCGGAAACGGTACATTTTTAGGCTTTAAATCCAACAACTCCACGAGCGAGGAGAAATACTTGGCTCGGAGTTCTCCTGAGTGAATGGATTGTGTACATATTGTATACAAGTATGCTCGTGTTTAAGTTTTTATTTTGATTAGTTTAATTTTTATGTTTATATACAGTTACTTTTAGTATTATTATTTTTCTATATTATTTATTTTATGTTATTTCAAATTGCGTGTGAATATGAACACTATTATAAATTTCCTTAATTGTGACTAATTGTAATATTTCTCAATACATAAGTTAAAAGAGTTTAAAACAAAAAAATACAACAATAAACAAACCAACCATTCATTATCTCAACATTTCAGATATATAAAAGGAAATCTCACGTTAGCAGCTAAACAAATCGAACCAATATAGGCTGTAGATCACTAAAATATAGTTGAATATATACATTATGCAGTAGTAGAATCACAGAAATGCAAATGCAAACTTTATTTTGTGATTTAGTTATAGAAATAGAAAATAATTATGATCGATTGTTATGTTTCATTATTGAAAATAATAAACCAAGCATGTGTACGAAGTGCAAACATATCTTTGCTAATATATTTGATGCGATTTGATTGCTTAATACGATTTGAATCTATTACCAGTCTTAATAGCAACCTAAATGCTTTAGTACTTGTTGGAACTCTACAGCAAAGTATTTATCAAAGGATATATTTATTCTACTTGCATACTACTGGTACCAGTAATGATGAGAATAAATAGTCCAGCAAGTGGAACACGTGGTCCTTTTTGCCAATCCCAGATGGCTACCATGAACCGTTGTTGGCTACCGGTTATGACATACGGGTGTGAAACAATGACATTGACAAAGGCCAGAGAGAAAAAAATGTAAATTTCGAAAGAATGGTCCTGCGGAAGGTATGTGATTCAGTTAAAAAGATTAATAATGAATGGGGAATTAGACCTAACCAAGAACTAACCAACTTATTGAAGGAGCAGGAGGTAGTGTAATATATCAGGCTAGTAAGGCTGAGATGGTCGGGCCACGTTCTAGGGATCAACGAGACCTCAACTCCAAAGAAGCTGCCCGGCATCATCGAAGTTAAGATGGATAGATAGTGCCGATACCAGAATTCTTGGAGAGAAGTGGAGGGCAGCCAGAAATGAATTGTATAGCTTAGGCTGATGATGATTTGATATTTTTTATATAATCAGAAAAAATGTGATAGTATAATAATAATACTAAATGGATGTCAGAGATATTGTTGAGAAGTTAATTTACAATATTATGATGGTTTTGGGATTGGTTGTAGGGAGGCAGTACGATAGATCATCAAAGAGCCATCGTAATAAATAATTGATTTTATTAATAGTATATTACTTTAATTATTTTTAATATCAAACTTATATTTTAAGAGCTATTAGTTGGGTATCACTATAAACGAAGTAACATTATATAAAACCTTTGATAGTAATTGAGGCAGAACATATCGTGTACGCACCAAAGAACTTAACGGGAGGACTAGACGGTTCATCATACAAGATGGTGAATCATTAATGACGTTATCATCACGGTTCCCGTTTTTCAACAGAGAACAGAAATGAACCCAATGAATCTCTAAAACATCCTACCTAATCCTTTACAGCTTCTCAATTCTTTACCTTTTTTAGCTACCCTCATCTCCACATCCCATTCAATCGGCAACAATAAAATTGTCTATACATAAAGGTGCAAAAAAAAAAAAAAAGTGGGTTGAATAGAAGAACCCAAACCCACTCAAATGTACCTGGTCCATTGTTAGTATCTTCGAAACAGGGAGAGGGCGCTCACTGTTTGCCGAACTGTCAACCTCCGGCTAATCCTAGAACCCGGCGAACTCCCTGACGTCTCTACAATAACCGGATCAGTTTCAGAGCGAGAGTGGATGGCATTTACACACATTTATGGAAAAAGAGACAAAATCGGATCATATCCTAATGATACTGCTAATAGGGTTCCTAGGGGAGGGTTCAGCTGGCGTTTCGGTTTTTGGGGTAAAAACTACCAGCTGCCGCTATGGACGACACGCCGGTTAATGGCAAGGAAAATGTCGCACGCGTCCATTAAATCCACGATTCTTTTTTGCGGCAGCAGAAATTTGTCTGAGTTTTATGCGTTTTATTGCCCGGGCCTGAATGGGAGCGGCGGACTGTGCTCCTCTAATGACTTGTAAACTCCGGAGAATTGCCTCTGTTATCGCTGCCTAGAACAGGAAAACCGCTGTACCCCTCATCGGATTCTAATGTGACAGATGCTTCTCATCTCCCTGCCTGTGGAGGAGGTGACTGGCATTACTCAAAACTCACAGATGGGTTTCATTACAATATTACGCAATATCAGTCTGTTGCATTTCTCTTATTTCAATCCCTTTGAGTCGACGAACTATTAGCCCATGGAACGGACCTGCTTTTATCAAATTGTTGACATCCGCCTGAAACTTTACGTAGATAGCTTCATCTCGTCGTAACCTACAGCTATTTTATTTACGAAAATTCTCATAATTAGGGCGTTTTCAATCTAGGGATCGGAACACTTTGTCTATTTAATTAGGTACTAAAAAATCGTTAATTCACATTTGCTTTCTACTTGAATTGTAAGATAATTTGAGCACAAAATCGAGAAAAAAAGGTGGCTTATGAAAATATTATGGCGTTTGTCCTATATAAACTCTTTATTTTGAAATGTTGGGAGTGGAGATCACACCAAACGGCCCAATATTTCTGTAGGCCACTTTTTTTCTGAATTTCATGCTCAAATTATCTTACATCATCTTTTATCGCAATCTGTTTACATTTAACTTACATGCTATATTCTCCTTTATTTTCTATTTTTATTCATACTTATTTTTCATTTTTGTTTGTATCTTCTACATATATACTACTTGATATTTTCACTACATTGTCACCCACTATATCTCTGATATATTTCTTAATCAGACGACTTCTTCTTATTTTATATTTCCTTATATTAATTTATTTTATTTTCCCCATGTTTTGTATCTTTTATAGCCCTGATGAAGACCTGCTCGAAACGTCAGCGAAAATTAAATAATCTACATCATTATGAAATTATTTTACAATTCAAGTAGAAATCAAATGTTTATTTACGAGTTTTTAGTGCCTAATTTTTGTTTTTATTCATTTATTTAATGAAATTTACAACTGTATAAACAATATAACCAGTAAAAATGCACACGTTAGAAATCATGATACGAACAGACTTGAAGAGATACTGCCCAGTGGTGGCACCCTCTATTTAATTCTAGGTAAGAAGATCACAGGATTCAAGGAAGAATGATATGATAGGTATCTGACTCGGGCTAAATCAGCGGCATATGGGACATTAAGGTCTTTATGAATGATTTTATTTGTGACAAAATATGGAGCATTAAGGATTTTGGATTGTAAGGATTAGATACGATAGGAATTCGATGGTTTGGTAGAGCCCCAAAGCTGAAATCTGTATGCCCATCTGTAAGTAGGTCTTATTATGATTAAGTAGATGGGTCTTTTGAAATTAATTGAAAGTTTAGAGCATTTGTCTAGTAAGTGTTGGAGCAGTCGGAAACGTCGAGCACTTTCTTGTCGTTTCAGTCTAGTTAGCGGATTCCAACTGGAGCCCTAGTTGGCGGATTTGTTCATCAGGAACAAGTGGAATATCATTGAAGGATATTGTAGGACAAGAAGTTGTAGGTTTACGACTTAGTACCTAATTAAAAATACAAATTGTTCCGATCTCTAGATTGAAAACGCCCCAGTTTTGAGAATTTTTGTAAATAAAATATTTGTAGGTTACGATGAGATGATGCTATTTACGAAGTTTCAGGCGGATGTCAAGAATTTGATAATAAGAGGTCTGTTCGATGGACTATATCTTACATTCTCAACCGCCTTGCCTGGTCATTCCGAGAACTTATCGTCTTTTATCCTCTAAATATTAAAAATACCTTAAAAGGGTATAAAAAGTTGATGTATTCACAAACGATATAACATTTGATTAAAAAGTGGAAATTATAAAATGTTCTTTTCATTATCTTTCATTTATTGCTCCCCAGGTACTGATTAACCATTCCCGTATTTTTTTCTTTTAAACAAATTTTATTAGAAAAATGTTTTAATGAATAAAAAATTATATTTTATTTATTTTTAATTACGAACAGATAACGGAATTATACTCCAAACATTTCAACAGGAACTGTAAATAGACAGGAAGAGATATAATTTTCGATCAATACAATGCAACTCCAAATACCACAGCTAGAAAAATATTAAGATTAATCTAAGTATCGTTTCATCACTAAGTAATATAATATTGATTTCATGTTTTTCTGTTTCAGAGTGATCGGAAAAAAAAAACAAAAAAAAATACTTAATTATCTTAACGACTTTTTAAAAGCAATTTTTTCTAAACAGTTATAACACAAAGTTGTTTACTTTTTTTTCAAAAGATATTTTAACTATAGTTAGTAAACAATGATATAACAAAAATCGTTGATTTCTGTGTCTTTAACATCCAGATGATACGATGATTTGACATGTAATGCCTCAATACTCAAACGATACTTGACCGTGTTGTTGGCGAACTGCTCTTAAAGAGTTACCATTCAGTTAATCAAACTACGAAGTATAAAAAAAAAAATGCTGGAAATTATTTCACAATGGTTTATTATTTCCAAACAATTATACATCTAAAGTAACATTACCTTCCGAGTTACAAAGAAAAAAAAAAAACAAAAGGTGATTCCAATTATAGGATTAAACTGTTTTTCTTTAATCATTAGTAATATGCTAAAAAAAAATAACATTAATTCAGTAACACATTTAAAATTGAAAAACCAAACCAAAGATATAACATTTGGAGTAGAACACATAAAAAAAAACCGGAGACCATATCTTTGCTCCTAATAATCCGATTTTAACTATTTTTTTTTGTTTTTTAGGAAATTTCGTAAACTTTTAAAAAACCATATACAATATCAACAAAAAAGTAAAAACTTTTCGAGTTATTCGGAATTTAATTTTACCATCCTTCGTAACTTTTTTTCCAGCTTCTTTTCGTTGAAGTATGTTATATAGATAAATTTAAAGGGCGTCGAGAAAATGACTTTAGCGAAGTTTCATAGAAATCTCTACATTCGTTTAGGAGCTACAGTCTATAGCAACGCCGCTTATTCGGCCGCCATTTTGAAAGTTAAAGGCGGAGAGTAACGTCGATGAAGGAGGATCATCCTCGGGTGACCTCTGATTTTATATAAAAATTTGAAAAAAAAATCGGTACAGTAGTTTCGGAGAAAATGGGCGGACGGCGGACGGACAAAAAAAATTTTATTCGTTTTTCGAATTCTACGCTTCTTGAAACGTGAAACCTCAAATTTTGAGAGGGGGTTATGTTTTTGAATTTTTTGGTCGATCACAATGTTTCATTATTGAAAATTATAAACCAAAATATATATATTTTTTATAGAAATTAACACCCTATTTTTTTTATAGCAGCCAGGTATAAACCAGTAAGTGTGAAACAATAATATTTAATTATACAACAATGTACATTTTTTGTAAATATCTACTGTGTTCAGCCTTCAAAAAAAAAAAAAATATATATATTTTATAATTATTTCGAACGATAATTCTCAACCCGTTCCTCAGCATTTATACCCAATATCCTTAACCTATTATTATTTAAATATAATTTGAAAATTGTATTCAATGTAATCATTACCGATCATAAATGTTTTTCATCCCTCAATTGTAAATTCTAAAAGGTATTTAAAAAAAAAAAGTTAAAGGATCGTAAAAACTGTTTTCAATTGTTAAGAAATTTTGACTCCCAGACAATCCCAGAAATGCCAGGCAACGTTCAACTATTGTATATATATTTGGGCATCGTTCAAAAGACAAATCTGTAAACATTGGGATGTCCCACAAAACCTAAGAGAGCGAAATAATGCGATCTGCTTTGTCTGTTCTTCTGGAAGAACTCCTCCTTTCTTCCTCCTACTATCTTTATTTGTTTTTCCCTTTTTTTTATTTCATCTTGTAAGGATACTTGAGAAACTACAGAAAACTGGCTACCTGTCCTACCAGAAACCTGGCTTCCTAATACTGTCAGCTACCAACGATATTTACAGTCCATCAACTATCTCCTAGTCCTTGATCCTGTTGTGTAACTGATCTTCGTAGTTCTTAGTGTCAGAAAAGAAGTGTAGACCACAGTATTCAACTCAGAATAAAATGCAGTCCTCAAGTCTTTTGTGATTTAATAAATATATAAATCAATACAAACATTCTCGCTAGTCTGTTGTGAACCAATTTCATTGTTCTGTAGTTTTACATAGGCTTACAGGTGTATATGTATATATATATATATATATACTATATATATGCATATACATGTATATGTATATATATATATATATTTACAACTTTTCCTTAATCGACATTTGAGTATTAAATTTAAACTTCACTATTTAATTGGGAATAAGGTCACTTAATTATTATTTAATAAACTAATTAATGTTCATTTCTTCTGTTTATTGACGTTTCGATCCCGGTATTTTCTTTTTATTAGTCAACCATGGGATCCTCTTCAAAGCTAGAACTGATATATATATATATATATATATATATATATATATATATATATTCGTTGCAATGTGAGGTTGGGTGAACCCCTCCATGCTATCTGAGCTCCCGCAAGCAATATACATCTTTAAGAAGGCCAGATCTGGCGGCCAAATATCTTCATGGTCTGTAGTGCTAACCGAAAAAATATATATTTTTTGAATGAATGAATATATGTAAATAATGAATATGTATAAATAATGAAAAATGAATATATATATTAAAGTATATATATTTTTTTAATTACTTACTAGGTTTATTATGGAAGTATAATATATTTAGAGTTTTTGTGACTAGACGAATCGGATAGCTTAAAAAATTTTCCTTAACGATATCGCAGTAAATTAACAACATTTATTGCACTGAAAATATATTTATATATATAACAGTTTTTGAATTTACAACCACCTTGGCCCTTAAGGTAAGATTAGGAATTTTAAAAATAAATAAATAATAAAATTAAATAGATTTTGGCGTATTATTTTTTTTTAAAACTACCACGGATATTATATTATGGATATTATCTATTGCTTTGCGTTCTAAATCGACCACC